GGGGGGGGGGGTTTACCCGACCAAGCGCTGTTGTTTCGGCGATCTAAATCCGTTTACATCGACGAAGTATCTCAGTAGTTGTTCGTCCATAGGGCTACATTTGCTACGCATTCTCTGCTCAGGAGCTGGCAGCGAGTCAAACCCAGGGCCAGAAACCTACACCACAACTCCACCTCAGTCAAGTGCAATGCTTGCGTCGGGTGGAATCACCTCAGAGTCTGCTCAGGACTACGGACCCATGCTCAAACAGAGCAGCCTTCACGGCAAACCCCAGTCCACCTGAGCAGCTTAACACAAACACCACAGCACCACAGCACCACAACACAATAAACCACACCACAACCACGACAGACCACACAACAGACAACTGCACCACCTCCCACACGCCGCCGCCAACAACTCGTGTTTCCTCCTACAATCTGCACGGTATAACATTTCTTTTAGAAGCCTTCATCCATGAGAATGGCGGCGATGAAGCGGAATATATATCGAAGTAATTGAAAGCTGCTGCACGTAACAAGTAGTCTGTTCCAATAGCAGTCCGGTTTACAGGATTTAGTCAGAACTTACAGGAAGTCGTTCCTATTGACATAAAACCTGTAAGTGGGAACACATTTGAGAGAGTAACTGAGCAACTGTTCCTAGTCAGAAGTTACAGGATTTAGTCCGGAGTATTTTTTCCTGTAAGTTCATGAAAAGTGTCAAACGATCAGCTGATTTGCATGTGCAAACAAACACTGAAAGCGGTAAAAGCTCAGAACCTTTTATTTGTTAAAAAATGGAAGTAAACAACGAAATATTTGAATATGTATAGATTTTAATAATTATTTAGCGATATTTCAGCTAAATCAGTGTTGTACAAATGACATGTAAACAAACCGACTGACGTTTTTACAGGAAATAGTGCTTTTTGCGTTCCTATGCACTTATGCATCTGTTCTCCTTTTACTCTCATTTGAGAGCGGAAAAGTGTAGTTTGACAGTTCCACAGGTTGTAGTCCGAAGTTCAAAGGAACAGACTAACTAAATACTTAACTTTTTTATGCTTAAGAATGCTGTCTGTTCCCTATTTATATTTTCGCGACTGTAGATGAGTACAGAGAAAATTTGCATTTCTTTTCGTTTCTATATCACATTCATATGTTATATAAAGGGTTTTACAATAAGGACGGGTATACGTCAAACAATCTATGTATAAGTTATTAATGAAATACCGTTTAAATAAATGGTTATACAAATGTTTATAAAAAGCTTTCTTTTGAAAATTTTGAGTAGGTTTATATTAATACGCTTATAAACAACTTGTTTTGAATCTTAATTATAAGTTTATGCTCATACGCTTAGAAAAATCTTTCTTTTGAATATTATAAGTTTACGCTTTCTTTCAAGCGTTTTATAAACAAAAAACCAACGTTTTGTAAGCTTAATGTTTATAATTATTAAGTTAAAAAAGCTTTCTTTAAGTTCATTTCGCTTGTTGTTTTTCAAGTGTTCACGTGTTGGTTTTTTTTTTAATGTTCACAACGTTTTACAAGTTATTATGATGGATTTTGTATAAAGTTTGAATCTCAGATTTATGTATATGGTTTTGGCTAAAGCTTGGGTAATATTTTTATAGAAAAATAACTTGCACAGCAAAAGCACCATTATTAAGGCGATGTCAGATAAAACTTTTGCTTCGCGTTGAGTGACAGATTCGTTTTGACAGAAAAGATGAAATGTATGAAAATGCACAAAGCATGTCATATAGATCGCTTCAGCCACAGCGCGAAGCGAAAAGATGGCCAACTCTCATCTTTTTGCGCGCGTTGACAATCAGCCGCTTTATTATTTATTTTGTTTCATCCAAATTCGAGTTTTTATGCAGAAACATAAAATTTAATTACATTGCTGATATTTTTAAAGTAAATAAATGAGATCCACAGCAATTTTGAGGAGTAAAAAAGCAGCACAAATTTGTTTTCTTGGCTGTACTTTTGCTTGGCATACTTTTTGCTTCTGGAGGTGAAAAGGTGCCAAGTCCATTTTTTTAACTTAGATTTTGATGCAGAATGGCGGATAATACGAAACTACATCGATTTTTCGTCTCTCTTGAACAATTTAAAAAAATGGACTTGGCACCTTTTGACACCCATAGGTGACGATATATAAATCCAAAACTTTTAACCCGTTTTTCTCGAGTTTGGTTTTTTAGTTATGACACTATTGAAGTAAATCAGTGATATGTACATATGTATGTATATGATATGTAAAAAATTTTCAGGAACACATGCCCCATCATACTGGCAAAAAAAACTACAATTGCGCGTTTTGTACGTCTGCTTTCAACGCAAAGGGAAATTATCACAAACATCTTAAGAGAGCTCATCCCGTTGAATATGAAAATTTACCAAAAAAATTATCTTACAACAAATAATACAAAAGTTTGCTTATTTGATAGAAAGCCGTTTACAAGTGTTCAATATTTTATTTTCAAGGTAAGACATGAAATTTTCACTTTTTTGACCTGACGTGGTCAATTTGGTGCCAAAAGAAGCCAATCCACCAAATCGTCCCAAACAAATTCCAAAAGAGAGATACACTTTTTTATTAAAAATTAATTTTGCTATTTTTGTTCGTAGACTCGAGTATTAAAATAAACAGTCTGTTCCTTTGAACTTCGGACTAAAACCTGTGGAACTGTCAAACAACAATTTTACGCTCTCAAATGAGAGTAAAAGGAGAACAGATGCAGAAGTGCATAGGAACGCAAAAAGCACTATTTCCTGTAAAAACGTCAGACGGTTTGTTTACATGTCATTGGTACTACACTGATTTGGCTGAAATATCACTAAATAATTATTAAAATCTATACATATTCAAATATTTCGTTGTTTACTTCCATTTTTTAACAAATATAAGGTTCTTTGCTTTCACCGCTTTTTGTTTTTGCTTGCACATGTAAATCAGCTGATCGTTTGACACTTTTCATGAACTTACAGGAAAAAAAACTCCGGACTAAATCCTGTAACTTCTGACTAGGAACAGTTGCTCAGTTACTCTCTCAAATGTGTTCCCACTTACAGGTTTTATGTCAATAGGAACGACTTCCTGTAAGTTCTGACTAAATCCTGTAAACCGGACTGCTATTGGAACAGACTAAAAATCTATATGTGTAAGGCGCCGATCAACTTTTAAACAAGGGCATGTAAACAGCCACTACTTGTAATACAAGTTCAATTTAAAAAAAGCGACTATGTATAACCAAATTTCACCGTTCAATTTTCTCGCATTTGTTTTTAAATCGGTTTTTTATTTCTCACATCGCACATAGGGACGAATCGACAATATATGACGACAAAAATGTTTACTCCATATTTTCATCATCGCTGATTTCGAATATTAAACTAAATTTCCAAAATTCACAATCCAATATGGCGGATGATTTCTTAAAAAATATTTATATTGTTATGATGCTTGGTATCCAGTGATTTTCGATGTCACTGATTTCGAAATTTATTTATTTATTTTGATATATTACAGAGTGAACTAATTATACATATTAACTTGTAAAGATAATAATGATATACAATAGCAATTTGGGTAGCTGGCGAGGCCTAGTCTCCAGTTTACTTTTGTGTGCGGCGGGCGGAAAGACCTAGTTTCCGCTCCGCGCTGTTTACAGGCCATTGATCATGGTCGGAAAGGCCGAGCTTCCGATCCATGTTCCCGTAGTCATTACTTTGTATGTGAGGCAGGCGGAAAGTCCTAGTTTCTGCTCCGCGCTATAGACGAACTGTTGGGCGTGGTCGAAAAGGCCTAGTTTCCGATCCCTACGCGGTCGCGAAAATATACAAAGCCGTTACAATTGTACTAAGCAGTCATAGATATTGTGTAATTTTTTCGTTCACGGTTACAGATATTAGTTTATTTAGTTAACTTGTTGAGCAAAGTTTTCTTTATTACAAAAAGGGATTCAGATGTGTCGAAGCAATCATAATGTTTGTTAAAATCTTGACATAAACACTGAAAAGCATCATGCATTTCAAAGTTTGATTTACTTAACACAATAGGTTTAAAATGTCTCGTGGGTCTTGTAGGAATACAAAAATTCATCTCACCCAGTAAAAAGGGACACTGACCATCCCGTTCATTAATTTAATTAAAAAAAGAACATCAAGCATCTCTCTACGACTCTGAAGCGTCGGCAAATCTATAAGCTTCAGGCGATCCTTGTAGGGTGGGAGATTTTTAGACGAGTCCCAACATAAATTTTTGAGGGCAAATAACAGGAACTGTTTCTGCACTGATTCGAGCCTGTCACTATGAATTTGATAGCTAGAGATTCCATATATAGATGCATACTCCAAAATCGGTCTAGCTAGAGAGGTAAAGAGAACTTTAGTGACATAAGGATCGTTGAACTCCTTGGCCCAGCGCTTAAGAAAAGCCAACAATCCTCTAGCCCTAATCACGCAGGAGTTTATGTGAGACTTGAATTCTAGTTTCGGATCCATAGTTACACCTAGGTCAATGAAATTGGTCACTTGCTCAACATTGTGGTCAGATATCATATACGAATTTGNATATATTTGGGTAGAACGATTTTCTAGAGAAGGTCATGAATTTACACTTTTTACACAGTTCGAGTAATTCAACACCTTAGGAAGGTCATTTATAAACAAAATAAACAAGACGGGACCAAGATGGCTGCCCTGAGGTACGCCTGACATGACATGTATTGGCCAGGAGGCACAATTTTTAAAAATTACTCTTTGTTTCCTATCCACTAAGTAAGAAGAAAGCCAGTTGAGAAGAATAGGAGGGAAACCAATTTGATCAAGTTTATATATAAGGGTTGAATGAGATATTTTATCAAATGCCTTGCTGAAATCAGTGTAAATCACGTCCGTTCGAAGATTGTTTTTAAACCCATTAGACACATAAGTAGTGAATTCAAGAAGATTGGATACAGTTGATTTACCTTTGCAAAAACCGTGTTGCGATAGATCAATAGCAGAAGTAATAGAGTGAGATAGTTCTTCCGTAACGATTGCCTCAAAAACTTTATCAACAACTTTAGGAATAGCAATTCCTCTATAGTTTACGATGTTAGTCCTACTTCCATTTTTATAAAGTGGCAAGATAAACGAATCCTTCCAGGAAGATNTTTATAAAGTGGCAAGATAAACGAATCCTTCCAGGAAGATGGGAAGACACCCTGTTTTAGGGAAGCATTAAAAATATTTGTCAGAGGCTTATACAAATACTCTGCACAACTTTTAAGAACACTTGTGGGTATACCGTCTGGGCCAGCTGTATATGAAATTTTCAAACAATTCAAATGAATGAGGACGTCCGCAGCAGATATCGATGGAATTCGGATGCAATATCGGATTTGATGGCAGAAAGAATGGGTAGCTAGATAGATTCGAATTTAGTTGGGAAGATGTAGAACTGGCAGAATAGTTTTACTCGAAGAAACCAGCAAATCCACATGCTGCAACCCCTGCAGAAACATGTGCAGCATTGCCAGCTATGAGTTGTTTTTCGAAGATAGCTGAATGAAGGAAAACAAAGTGGAAAGGAATTAAAAAAGCACTATCATGTGCTTGTTTATAGTAAAATTTATTGATTTTCAATATTTTGAGGAAAATTATGGATTCTGATGCATTTGCAGTTATAGCAGCGGAGTAAGAGCGCGCTATGGCAATGGACTCACAAAGGTATGCGGAGCTGCCGAGCATAGTAACCATTGGTGCATCTATGTCAGCTTCTGGTTGAATTGTTGAACCACAAGTTAATGCAATAACAGCTTCTTACAAGCCATTGAAAATATGCAGTTTGTTAGGCTTGCTTCTGCCTTCGGCCGCGCTTAGGGATTATAACCCTTACTAAGTAGAATTCTCCTTTCTGTGTTGCGGGGAAGAGGGGCTTCCGCATGTCAAAAGTATACAACATTTCTTGTGCATATCACTCCGGCTACGCCGTCCACAGTACTTCTGCGCAGAACCCACGTCGAAATTCGCAAAAAAGTGCATAGTGCAAAACGAGTTTATTAATAAGCTAGTGATAGAAAATTTTAAACATTTATCTTAAAAAAATGTGAATCCTTTGATTACACGTGTATGTTAAAGTTTTTGGGTTCGGGCTATACGTTTGGACACAACAACAGAAAATCGTTGTACAAATAACTAAGCCGGACGCAAGTTTCTCGATAAGGGGCAACAAAGATTCTTATTTGCTTGTTTATATAAAACAGTGGATAAAAATATACGTATATGCGTAAGGCAAATTTATCTGTTTAAATGAACACCACCAATATTTCTTGCAAACACACATTGATTTACATCTTATATTTCGCCTTCGACATAGAATTGTTTTCGTACAAAATTACGCAAAAAAGCTTACTCGTTCGTTTTTGGGCATGTCGTTGTTACGAATTTCGAAAGTTCGAAAATACGATTCGGATTGCAGCATACTATTTCTACGATTCGTAGCAAAATCCGAATATAAATCATTTAACTTCAATGTTGAGGGATAACCGTTAGTCTTACGCTTTGTGTTCACAAAGGCGTAAAACGATTTGGGATTAGAAACTATATTGAGTCGAACCCTGTTAATATAATTATTGTAACACTTTTTGTTCAATACATTGTATTTATGCCTAAGAATGGAGTACGCGGAGTAGTGAGAAGACAAGCCAGATTTTTTAAAAAGCTTAAATGCTTTGGATTTTTGATTTTTTAAGCGTTTTAATTCGCCAGTAAACCACTGAGCGTTAGACGTTACGTTAGCTTCCTTAACAAGAGGAATGATTTTACTGAAAATATGGCGTAAGGAATTGCTAAAATGTAAGGCACTATCTTCAGCATTCCCATCATACTGGGGCCCAAGTTACCTTCGATATATCTAACCTAATACTAGGTTCACATATAAGTAGATTATCCTCATTTTCGAGATTAACACCCTAATCTGTAATTAGAACAAGAGATTAGACATAAAATTCGTCTCTTGTTAATCTGTAATTATAAAATAATCTCAGATTTAACCGATAACTTTTCGGTGTCCATCCTAGTTTTATCGATTGTTTTCGCGAAAAAGAGGAGAAATGGCAAGTGTAAAAGTAAACAAAAATGGACGCTAGCAAGGAAAAGAGGTTTGTAGTGGTATTTTTAATAAAATTTTAAGTTAAAATATATTTATATTGCTTATTATAGCAGAAAAACGTGATCACAGTGGCACAGAGAAGAAACATAACTTTTCCTTGAGATGTGAGAATAACAGGCACAACAAATTTGACGGCTAATAATCTGCGATTTGCCTGTGTAAACGGTGTGATTAAAAAACGAGCTTTGATTGAGGTTATATTGATATGTGAACATACTTTAAGTTTACTATAATCTGCTGTTTTAAATTAGTAACGCTCCGCTCTTGATTTTTTACTGATAAAGCAACATGAGTTGCGTGAATTTATCAAGGACAATTCTAGTGGTGGGTGGTGAGAATCAACAGGTGTAATCAAAGCATAACTAGGAGCTATTGTGACGTTAGAAACGTCGTCCACAAAAACTAAATCCAGACATTTACCTAAGTTATTACTAATAGAGTTGATCTGGTAAAGACTAAGGTCTGAAAGATCGTTCAAAAATTGATTGAAGGGATCACGAGAGGAATATGGTACTAGAATACTATCTATTAGATCCCAAGAAACACCCGCAAGATTGAAGTCACCCAGGACAATAACAGTATCGGAGGGCTTCACCATGACATGTAGAGAAATTAATATTCAATTTTCAAAAATCAAAATGGCGGATCCAATATGGAGGACGATTTCTTCAAAAATGTATAAATTTTTATGAAGCTTGATATTTACTCATTTTCAAAAATTCAATATGGCGGATCAAATATTGCGTCCCGAACAAGGCGTTTTGAATTTTGAAAATTTAATTTCAATTTCGTAATCAAAGATAACGAGGATCTCTGAATACCAAGTTTCATAACAAACTATAATTTAAAAAAAAGTGATCCACCATATTGAATCCGCCACTTCGATTTTTGAAATTTAATATCAATTTCGAAACCAGTGGCGACGAAAATCTCTGGATACCAAGCTTTATAACAATCTATACATTTTTAAAGACATCTTCCGCCATATTGTATACGCCATTTTGAATTTTGAAAATTTGATATCAATTTCGAAATCCTTGACAACGAAAGATACCAAATTTCATTTGGGGTGTTCACAGTTTGTTCCAAATAGTGTCTCAAAATGTAGACGTCTACATTTTGGCTGCATTTCTTTATTCATTCTGAACGTTTGGAATAAACTTTTTTGTTTACTTATTCTTTAGAACGTTCCTGATGATATGTTAACGTATATTTCAAACGCATTCTGTTTATTCCGGCTATGAAATGGGATTATCCGGAATGTATAAAGAAACGCAGCCTTTAAGACGTTTTCCAACCGTAAAATCGGTGGTGTTGTTGTTTCCCATACAAAATTGGATAACGACGCCGTCTACATTTTGTCACACTTTAAGCGTCTACATTTTGCAACTTCGCAGCAGGGTTGCATTATGGCAATACTAATCTCATTTTTTTATTTATTGGGCACGTTTTCTGTATTTGCATTTAATTTGAGCGCAATTTCTGATGAAAAGAAACAAATCAAGGAAAATAAATAACAAATATTACGAATTGGTAATTAAGTTAAATAATTACAATTTTTCAGAAACAAAATCGAAAGGCGACATATAAGAAATGCACGCAAGGAAGAAATATCTGGCAACACCAGCAAAGTTTTGAGACGATTTTGCGACGACTGCTAGAAAGGGGTGCTCACAGTTTGATGCTAAAGATGTCTCAAAATGTAGACGTCTACATTTTCAGACACAATTTGGAACGAACTGTGAACACCCCAATTATAATCTGTCAAATACATATGGAGTAAACATTTTTGTCCTCCTATATCCTCGATTCGTTCCAATCAACGACTTAAGAAAAAGATGCTCTATTTAATGAAGGGGGGACGACGGCATGATATTTTTACATTGGCAATTTGTTGGATTTTCGAACTGTTGAAGAGAAATTGCTGTACTCGTTGGAACTTTTTTTATAACTCTAACCAATATAAAAATTTAAAAAATTTTTCAATAAAAAAAGGCAATTTATAAAAAAGGTATTATACTCATTTTACAAGCAACCATATTATTAAGAAAAATCGCAAAATAAAGTACATACCTCACGCCTCACTTTCCATGTTGACAAAACTATTAGTTGTTTTTAAGAATAAAATGACAAGCGGATTTTATCATCGCTTTAAACAAAAAATTATTTAACTCGACGCACGACAAAAACCCAACTTGCGTTAAATGTCAAAATTTTTGTGTTACATTGTGGACTGGTTTATAAGGAGTATAAGAAAGGTATGTATGATAAGATTTAAAGACTTCTGTTTTTCTATTTTTGTCGTCGTAATTAGTCACTTTGTCCTTATGTGCATCTAAACGCATCATATATATATATAATACTTCTATATTAGGTTCGTTCGCGTAGCTGTTAATTGTTCATGTTTAACCAAAACTTACAAGTTTTTGCGTTCGCGTACGCAAAAAACTTGCAAAGTAGGGGAAATTGAGAGAGCAAAGTGACATTTCATTTTGAGGGGAAGCTGCTGGTTTCTGTTGGAAAAATTTTTGCCAACAGCAATTTGCCAACAGGAAAACAGCTGATCAAAAACAGCTGGTTGGCATTTACGCAAATCACAAAATTGAATTTGATGGTTTGGAAGTTAAAAATTACAAAATGCGACTAATTAAACTTGTAAGAAGTAAGTAGTTATTTGTTTAATCAATAAACTGTGCCAGGATACCACTTTGTAATGAGTTTTCGAACGTTTTAAATTTTACACTTTTGAATGTAAACAAAAATTATATCAGCTGTTCGTCTAACTTGCAAGTTTCTGAAAATTTTCTGTTCGCGTACTATTTTGGATATTTCTCTCTTGTGAGCGAACAGATGACATTTCGCCGGAATTTGGCAGTTGGTTGGTTTCTGTTGGAGATTTTAAACGAACGCACCTATTGTTGCAAAATGCATGGTACATTCCCCACCAACGTCTGTCAAGTTAGCACTAGGCTTTTCGAAATTGGAAAAGTTAACTATGATATTAATTGTAGCTTTTTTGTTGTAAATTTGTTGTGGAAAGGAACAATGTGAAGCTCTCATTTAAAAAAAAAATATTGTATGTAGTGCTAACTTGACACTATACAAGAATCGAGAGAATTAAGATATCCAATATATTACTGTGCCATTAATTGTAGCTTTTGACTGAAAACTTTGTTGTGAAAAGAAAAAATTTGTAGCTTTCGAGTTGACCTTTTTTTCGAATAAACTTTAGTGTGTGCTGCTAACTTGACACCATGCCCCAATGTTGATTGAGATAACGCAAATTTTACAACGGCATTAATTGTAGCTTCTTTATTACGAATTTGTTGTGAAAAGAAAAAAAATTGTGGCTTGTCACTTACTTAAAAAATCAAATTTACCTTAATTCATCAACCACTTGAAATATATAGTTGCGTTTGTTTACTCATTTCCAGTAAAATCCAGTAAAAGTTTTTACGAATTTTCATGTTTTGGCGTTTTCGTTTTCAAAAACTTGCAAAGTAGGGGAAATTGAGAGAGCGAAAAATGACAGTTCAAGTTTTACTGGATAAATTTTTACTTATAAGAATTTTCCAGTACGAAAAACTGCTGATCGCATGTTGCTGGATGAAATTTAAACTAATAAGGAAACTGTTTGGGGGGTTTTTATTGTAGAAATTCACAAAATAAACATATTTAAATATGAAATATATTGTTTTATTAGAAATATGCTGCGAATAATCAACCAATTTATCAGCTGTTCATGAAACTTGCAAATAATTACTGGAATAGCGTTCGCGTACTTTTTTGTAAATTTTTTCTATGAGAGCGAATTTTTAAAAATAAAGTTACTGGAGAGTTGATGGCAAGTTACTGGATAATTTGTAAACAAACACATTTAAGAGATTTGTTTATTGCGTTCACCAAATTTTCTGGGTTAAAACCTGTAAAACTGTCAAAAAGCAAAAAAAGCCAGAGAACCGAGTACGGGAACGCTTTCTGGTAAATTCTTGTAACTTCTTGCGAGTTAGGGAACGCAACTTATATTTAGGAGGGTTTCCAACTGTTTCAGAAGTCTTAGCTAACTTATGCACAAATCCGAAGACGAAGATAATGCGAAGACGAACGAAGAGTAATACAAATTTCTGCAGTATGAAAGGAAATAAAAATGAATCGTAGTGGTGATACACGTCATGGCATATGTCTATTTATAAGCTGATGGTACATATGATGAAGTTAATCTGGATCTGCTTCTCTATTGCTAAGTATTAATATTTTGCAATTCATATTGATTTGTTAAATTCAATTCAATACAATCAAAACGAATATTTCATGCACCGCCTTTAACTTGAATGTGATTTTAATAATATCACGTATTATACGTTTAAGTTTACGGCTCCGAAACAGCCTGCCGTCTAAGACGAAGGTGCTGGACTGATCCTTTTCTGTTTTGCTTGTGTCTATATATATGTCATATTACCAGCTCGCTTATATTGTGATGCATGTTTTCGTTCAATCGTGGTAGAAAATGGTAATGAATTCCTTATTTTCCCATTGGTTGATAAACTTCAACTTTAGTTCAGACCTAGGGCGATGAATCCACCTTTAGTACATTCATATGTATATATACAGTGACTCAAACAAGTGACGACGTGTTGTTTTTTTGTTTAATATTCACAATGTTTTTCAACTTTCTATTTTTTTTTTTGTTATTTTCATAAGACTAAAATTTGGCATTTTTGATATTATGCGCTAAAAATGTACACAGATCTTTTATTTAACTTTCAGCAAAAGCTGGGGCAAATTTTGGTTATAATTTGTTAAAAAAAACCTAAGGTAAAGTCGCCCTTACCCATATGATTATCATGTGCTAAGAAATAGTTTTCCGCATTTTCTGACAAACGTATTATTTTGAGTTGTGACTCTTTTGGAGACGGTGTGCGATATGTTCTAAAAATTCTGTTTAAAAAGTTGGAAATTTTAATGCAAGTTTATTCAATTTTTCTAAAGTTTTTTGTATAATTTTTTAAACTTTGATTTATATGGGCTGTTCGCAGTTCTCAAGAAAAATTTTGATAGAAAAAAACTTCTTTTCCATTTCTTATGTGTCATTTTATATGAAGTTTTCGTTTTTCTGGAGAGCTGCAGACAGCCCTTAAAGCCATGGTACATTAATTACAGGTATTGTCTTTCCAGAGAGCTAAAACAAAAAGCAAAGCCAAATAAAAGTAAAAGAATCAACATTGAACTGCGTCAAAAAGAAAATAAGGGAGCACGAGCTTCGATGTGAAGCGAAACTTTCTGGGAAGACAATACCTGTAATTATTGTACCATGCCTTAAAGCTTGAACGATATTTTTATAGAAAAGTAACAAAACAAATTAACTTAGAAAGTATTGTGAATACTAAAAAAATAAAAATCAACACGTAGTCACTTATTTGAGTCACTGTATGTGTGTACACGTATGTGTTTTTTTTTATAAATATACATGGTGGAATAATAACAAGGTGTTGTCAGTAGCGACGTGTTTGTTGTGATTTTGACAAGATCAGCATGCTTATTTTCAGTGCTGCCGATCTTAATTTTTATANTACATATGTACGTATCTATTAATTTATTTAAATCTCCAACGTCATTGATATTATCAAGCTATGGCAAAGTGGGCATGTGTGGTGTCGTGTTATCTCGACTGGTGTAGCGCAATGATGGCATATGCCACAAATCCAAATATTACTGGTCGGCTGTGTAATAGGCTTCCCTGAAGAAACGCAAGCCGGAAAGCGAGCGCCACAAATTGTACACGCAGGCAAACTATAAAGCGTATTTTGTAATATTAATAAATGAAATGTTTAAACGTGATATTGTCAATAAATTGCAAGATCGCACCTGTCAGGCACAGGCGCATTACAAGCATAACACTTAACCATTTCAACTTTGGCATCCTCGGAGGCATATTTTGCAAAAATGCTTGCGCCAAGCTCTTTGTATTCCTGAATTCTACGTTCCGTTATGCCTTCCAAGGATTCAAGTTTTGTGAAAGCCTTGGCGCAAGTGCCTAATGGAATTCGTTAGTTTGTTTAAAATCATATCATACGAGTATAATTAAAAAAAAATGTATTAACACACCGAAAGAGCGATCGGCGCAACTGGCCAACGCTAGCGTATTATAGACGTCTTCTACGGGCAGGATATCATCATAATCACGCAAGCGTAGTGCAGTTACCACAGCACTGTGCACAATTCCGAAACGCAGTTGTCGTTGTGCCAACATCCTAAGTAAAATGGAAGAATTGTAGTAAAAATTATAGCACCAAGGCCTGTTCTGCTACTTGGCATTACCGTTACATACATAAAATGATAGGCTTCGGCAGCGTGCCACATATGCTCAACCACGTGTGCATCCTCGGGAGTCATTGTGTCCAACAAAGAGTTCCGATCCACTTTGTAACTCAACTCGGCTGTGCTCAACGTCTTTAAATGTTCTTCGGCAAGCAAGGCAGCCAGTATGTACAGTTTTTTAATGCGCAACATGCTGGCGTCCTTCTCCGCTTCGCGTTGCGCCAATTTACCCAACAGGCGTGCTGCATCCAAATAACGGCCGGCTTTCTTTTGCAACTCTATTGCTTCCGGCAGGCGATCCTCCTTAATCAGTTGAGCTGCATGCTTGCTCAATAAATTACCAATTTGTGGCATATCGAATTTACGCGCGAGCTGTAGCGCCTCACCCCATTGTCGCAAGTTGACGCATGCATTTACTGCCGCTTTTGGATCGCCCATTTTTAAGTAGGCTTTTACCGCTTCTGAGCACATTCCTAAGAGAGTAGAGGCAAAATATGTACGTATATATCCATAAATTGGATGAAGCTGACTTATGTGTGCTATTTTGCTTACCAACAGAAGCCAACATTTCAGCAATCTTAGCAAGTAAAGGACTTTTCTCGGGCAACTTGTCAATGCACTGCTCCAGCTCGTCGAATCTCTCCAGATGATATAGAGCGTCCATTAGACCTTCAATGTGATGCGATTTTTCATAGTATTCCTTTGCGCTTTCCCTATAAGAAGTGGATATTTATTTCTGTAAAAAAATTATGGTTTCGGTAGGGTAAACTCCAATGCTAGTATTAACATTCCCCATGGGACAACTGACTGATGTGTCATCTGAGTATCAGACTTGGAGTATTAGCCCCTCAGATTATACATTAGATTTCTACTACGACGATTTTGAAAAATCTGATGGATACTTTCCTGTAGGTGTGACCTTGCATATGCATTGGTTAACTGGGATGTGTGTATTAGTTTCCGTCAGATTTGTCCAGTAGGGTTAGTTCTGCTCCCTATGAAAACAAGCTTGTACAAGTTGTTACCAAATCGCGTTCGTTTGAACAAAAAACTCGCAAGGACAGACCACAATGTTGACATTTGGAAAGGAAAAAGTCTTCCCAGCAAGCAGGATTGTGGCACACGGTTGCATTTTTGTCAACAATAATTTGAATCAATAAACTCTTTAAATTTAAAAATGTACACTACACTTCAAATAAAATGTATTATGTTCGAAATGCAACAGTGGACGCCAGCTGGCAGTGAAGATTGCAAATCTCTGCAAAGTCTCGTCCGCGCTAAACTTTGTAAGTTTCTCTCTTTGGGAGAGTAAGATACCTTAATCTTTAAATTTTGTTGCTTGATAATTTCAGCTGGCTAATTTTGCATTTCTGTCTTTTGTCTAATTTGGGAGATATTCGTTCATTACTCCCCTGTAAGTTGCTGCTGGATTTTTTCCACTGTAAATCTATTCGAACAGATCAAGTTTCATAATGGGTAATGTTCCCTATGTACATATGTATGTATGTAGTATGTATACGGTGACCATCCGTCCTGTATTATACGGGACAGTCGTCTTTTTTGACCAATTGTCCTGGTAATTAATTTATTTTATACGGGACGCTAAATGTTCTGTATTTCTTTCAATGTCCTGTATCTGTCCCGTATTCGATGTTCGTTAATTCGACGCCTTAACAGCTCATTAAAATGGCATGCCTATGAACGAGTTTTAAGTTGTTTTGTATATGAACACAATTTTCTCCATTAACAGTTATTATTTTTCAATCTGGATGCCTGTGATTCGAAGTGAGGAACATATACAGTGACCAAAATATAAATTAGGACTCTACATTTTAGCAAGGTTTGCATATTTTCTTTTGTTTATTATTATTATTTATGAAAGTAAAGCTCCTTTCCTAAAAAAAACCAAATAAATCCACATATCCGACATTGCGCAAAAACTATGAAAAATAATTCTGCAAAGATTCACCAAAATTTCGCACTTTTTAATCAGAAACTTAAAAAAAAAATTGCTTGAAGTTTTGTAGCTCATTAAAATGAGTATAATACAGTGCAACGTGCTGCTCATTTCCTTTCCTATAAAAAAATTTCGAACATACATACATACTCTGTATGAAAAAAATGCGTGTGTAAAAAAAATGCCAAAAATTAACGATTAGTCCTAGCTACTTCAAGCTTGTACTTTATTATACTTAAATTTAAGGAATTTTTTGTAAAAAATGTTGGGTAAAAATGTCGAGAACCGTATCCTAAAAATGTGTGATGCTACTAAAAGAGTGCTGTTTCAAGGCTAATACATCTAGGATCGTTTAAAATGGTTTTAAGATCTTTTAGCTTTTGTGGAAAAAATTCGCAAAATTATTTTTGTCCCGTACTCGGCTCCCATAAATATGGTCACCATAAGTATGTACTATAAAATATCAATATTCAACGCGATTTTTAGTAACTTTAAAATTGCACTTTATTACAGGGAAAGAACCACAGTTAATGATGAAAACTGTCATTGAAAAATTCACTATGAAGGAAGGATCGTTAAATCTTTTAATTAATGTTTCCTCTCAGAGTTAAAAATTATGAAATACAAAATTTAAGTATGGCCGCAGTTGCGGCCCTCTAGTTTTGTGGCATCACTCACTTTTTTCATTCAGTTTGAAATAAAATATAAAAATAAGTATTTATATCATTTTGCGCGCACTGGCTCAACAGACGCAATGGTTAAGTGAGCCGAGCACTGCCTGCCATTCGAGAGATCCGAGAACGATCCTTGGCAACGGTTTTTTCTTTTTTTATTCAATTTTTTGTTTTAATTTTTACGTTTTATTGCGTTTTTTCATTTAATTTTTAGAAACTACTAAAAGACAAACAAAACCACTAACTGGCCAATTCTGGCATCTGTGTTTCAACTCACTACAGTCTTTTGAAAGACAAAAGCCTTTATATTCCGGCAACTATCTTGAAAGATCTTTTCTGTATTTCGAATGACTAATTAAAAGATCTGCTAAAGAGGAGGATAGCGTTATTCTATTTGTCGTTTAGCAATAGGTTTTCTAAAAACTAAACGACATTAAAAAAAAATATTTTTTTAAACAACCAAAACTAAAATTTTGAGAAAACTAAGTAAAATAAGAAAAAAAATAATCAAAGTTTTCAAACATTATATTAAATAAAAAAATATTTTTTAAGCAATAAAAATTAAAAACGAAAAGAAAAAATTTAATAAAAAAGAAAAAAAAAATCTGTTGCCGAGGATCGAACTCGGATCTCTCGAATGGCACAAAAGTGCTCCGCTCACTACTCTCCGTGTTCCGTGCTACAGCAACGTTATCGAAATTGAAATTTATTGGAAACAAACAAAAAAATTCACAATCATTTGTTAAAAAGTTAAGTAAAGGTTTTTGTTTACTTATTTTTAATGCTCATTAAATGCTGTTAATGAATCATTAATTGACTCTCGAGAGGGAATTTTTTCAAATCTTTACTGAGGGACAACTTAAGTAATCGTTAAACGACTCTGAGTGCGAGAATCACCGAGAATCAAATTTTTATTTGTAATTTTTATTTTATAAATCCAAAATAATTATTTTTGATTTTAATATTATATTTCTTAGATAATAATCATTGAAGACTGTTATTTATAAAAGTCATCAATAAAAATCAGTCAAAGACTTTTACTTTTAAGAGCCATCAATATAAATCAGTCACCGACTTTTATTTTTTAAGTCATACCTATAAAAGTCATTATCATTTTTTGCAGTTAAGAAGATGTTGGAGAACAAAAGTTAAACCGTATGAGATACTATTTCTTTGTATCTGTAGCGGTATAGATAAGTTTTCCCATCGCTCGAGCAACATCTCTTTATGATTAGCTAATGCAGCTTCGAAGTTGAAATTTGGCTAACTCAACCGCCATGGTATTTATAAGAAGATTACCAAATTTTGAACCATCGGGCTACGCCCACCTCGACCGCCCATACAACATTATTTGTAGCTTTATAGATTTTAATGAGAAGTTAGTAAATATTATACGTTCATATTTATATAAAGTAAAGTTGCAGTAGTGTGATATATTTACTCAAAAACCTCTGGACCGATTTTGGCGAAATTTTGACACAAGACATGTATTTGGAGAAGGTTTAAATTATGTTAGTTTGCAATCCGGTAAATACCTATTAAAAAATTAATTCAATGAAGTTAAATTAATTACTTCAATATGGGTATCAATCGAAATGGTGTTGAAAACGATTTATTTCCAAGCAACATGTGGGAGGGTTGCCATCTGTTAAAAAAATTTAATTCAACATGGGAATTAGGTAACTGGAATACGTATCACAATATGGGTGTCAGGTGAGGTGGGTTGTAGTCTGAAAATGTGTACACGAAGGCCTCAGAAAAAATAGGTTTAAGAAAGTTTCACTTTGAAAATTTGTTGATGAGGGTTGCCAACTATTTAATTATTTGATAACTTGAATGAGTTCTTACAATATGGATATCAATCCAAAGAGTTTTGAAATGCTTCATTTCTAAACTACATGTAGGAGGGCCGCCATCTGTTTAAAAAGTCAAACTGAGCTTGAATTAAGGGAATTAGGTAATTTAGATAAGTATCACAATCGGCATCAGACGAAAGAGCTGAACTCTCTTCCCCCACTTATCCACACAAAACCGGTTTAAGGCGGACTGCGCACTCCAGTGTGCGGAGGCCCATAGAGATGGAAGAAATTGTAATAGAAATGGAAGAAACTGTAAAAGATAACGGCGAATTCCAAAAAAGAGCTGATATCAGCTCTAGACAGTTTTTGGCAATCACCTGATAGTGTTTTTACTTAGTAAACTGTACGATGGTTTAAATAACGTAAAAACGACAATAGGCAACGAAAATCAGTTTTGCCAATTTTAAAGACAATTAAAATATCAATGAGTTTGCAAATGGTACCACCTAATGCCGAATTTCCACTAGGCATTGAAATTACAAAAAATGTATGCCATTTAAAAAAAAATGCCATGTGGAAATGAACTTAATAACTATTTTTGAATTTAAAATCCAGCATTATATAAAAAATATATCTAATTTTAAGGTAATTCGAAATTTTGGCTTTCAGTCTTGAAAATTGCATTTATTTTCTCTTAGTTTGTAGAAATAATACACTCAAATTCTTAAGTTTATTTTCATTTCATTGGGTATCGATTACCGTGGAGTGAGCCATATCAATATGTACATACATACATATGTATATGTATTAGGGTGGTCCACAAAAGGCTTGGTTTCACCCAAGCAACAAGCGACCTATTGCATGTGACACTGTTTGTTATGACCAGGGAACGTTTTTTATGGAAATTTCCCTTTTTTCTGCTAAAGAGATAGAGTATATTCGATTAAGAATGTCCCCGATTTAGCTTTCCCTGATTCCATATATGTATACACATTTGATGTTGCCTTTTTGGCTTTTCTACATTTAAAAAAGTGATTATAGCGAGGATAAAGCTCTTATTCCTGATAATATGAAAGTTTCAACGTTCCATATTTAAATTGGGCGCCGCTTGTATCAACTCACGCCGAGCGCACGTTTAGTACATTCAAGGCTTTTCTTCGCGAGAACCGAATGAAAATGCTGTCAGAAAACTTCAAAATGCATTTTGTGGTTCAATGTTACTACAACTATAGAGATTAAAGTTTTGTGAGTTGAAAACTCGAAAGGAGAAATTAGTCGAAGATCAAAGTACGAATTATTCATATAATGAAACTAGTTCATAGTTCTCCTTTTACTTGTTATATAAACAATTCTAAAATAAATGTATTTTTTGATTATTTTTCGGGTTTGGTTATTTTCGATACTTTTCGGTTCTGCGGGGTTGGCAGAAAGAATTTTCCAAAAAGTTGATTTTCCTGTGTGTTTGGACCTCTTAACAGGCGCCATAGGCGGTGCGTCTGACTCGCGAGTCATTTGTGTACGTGTGGACTCGACCTGCGACTACACACAGTTGACGCATTCAGGGTCATGCCAGAGTCATGTCGGTGTAACTTATTTATTTTCACTAACACATCCAAACCAACTCGCGAGTCAGACGCAACGTGTATGCCGCCTATAATGTAGATCGATGATGTCAACTTACAGTCTCTTATTTTTTACTTTTTGCTTACCATGAACGTAAACTTGCAAAATGGTTGCCAATTTCACGCCAAGCTGTTTCCATTTGCTGATCTGAGACGCCGGATCCCATTCGATACAGCTGCACGGCACGAAACCAGTCGCACAACGTTATACGCAGAGTTATTGCCAAATCTCTGTAAATTCAAAAAGAACACCAGCTAAGGTGAAATATTTGTCTACATATCGATGGTCCTCTGCAATAACAATACAACAAAACATTTTTTTTATTTTTCTGTAGAGCCAATTAAAGTTTTTACGTTTCATAATTTAGCAATAATATGTACATATATCTTGCAACGTAATTATTGGGGATTTTTCGAAGTTATTTTGTAGAGAAACTATGTAAGCTTACAAATTATGACTGCTTAATAAAGATTTAGTAAGGATTAGATTGAAGAAGACGAAATAAGAAACTATTATTAACCCTTTGAGGACCGTTGTTGCAACATTATAGGCAACATTGACATTTTGATTATGTATATATCTTGTTTGAATTATAAAACTAATTAGTTTTCACCACCTTTTCGTAGTGACTACAACATTAAAATAAAATACATATAATAAATTATTATTTTTGCTTACCAGGGGCCCGGCGGGCCCGTGTCCATCTCTACTATAGTTATAATTGGTCGATTTTGTTAAACGGTAATGTTGGAATTTCATCAGAATTTCGAAAATTGCAAGCTTTCCGAAACTTTTTATAGTTCAAACGTGCAAACGTGCTAAGCCCACCTTTTATGAAAATTGAGATTTTAATGCAGTAAGATAGCACAATTCAAAATATATCATTACAACAAAAAAAGTTGCCGCAATGTCGTTCTTGCTTGTTGCTATGCAGTGGTATAAGGGTAGGCAACTAATTTTTGTGAATTCCCCGATTTCAACAATGAATGTCTCCTTATTTACAAAAAAAAAATTGTGTGTATTTTGACATATTGCTGGTCTGTCTGTTTATTTTCTTTTTAATATAATTCGGCTATGTATGTATTCATAGACCAAACCAAACTTTTATAAAGTTAGTTAACAAATGAAGGAAACAATGAACATATAATGTTTACACACATACAGTGGTCGAAAAAGTTTTATTTAGTTACGCAAAATCTTGACAAGTTTTCCCAATTATTATTATTTTTTGTTAGTTATTAATTTGAATTCTTTTTTTTTTAATTTTTTTTTATATTCTTTAACAAAAACCATATACACCCAAATTTCAATCTTTGTGTAATATTAAAAAAAAATTAACAAAATTTTGTTAAAATTTCGAGATTTTTAATTAGATCTTCTGAAAGATTTTGAGTATTTAGTTTTGTAGCACACTCAATTCGAGTAAGTGCAAGTTTAAAGTACACATACAATTGTGTTTATTCGCAAATGCGAAAAAAACCTAAATCAAACATATTGCAAATCATTACTTTTAGTTGCAGTTGCATTTCTAACGCGACTTTTTTACCTTTTTATCTTTGAAATCGGCCAATCACTACGCGCATCTACCATATAACGGTAATTTACAGAAATACGAAAACTGCGATAAATCAATAATTACTAAAGCCAATTTACTTAAAACCGATGATTGCGATAACCACTTAGCAGAAAATTAGGTTATCAGAAATTCTTGGATAGTGGGCGTGGCGCCACCCACTTATGATTTATCAGTTTGTACCAAACTCGGTGCACTTAATAATCCTGCTACGGAAGAGTAATTCGTTGAAAATTATCAAAATCGGACCAAAATGATACCCTCTTCCCGTATATCTAACGGTAAATTTCAGAAATACGGAGGCTGATATTTCAATAACTGAGGACGCTAATTTACTCCAATGCTTAATCATAAATAAGACTGCTATAGACATTTAGGAATTGGGTGTTGCACCGCCCACTTTCTAACTACAATTGAGTCTAACTCAGAATATAATCGAAAAAGCTCGAAATCGGGAAAAGCACTTCTGCTTATCAATCAAAGGTAGTTGAGAGAAAGTCGAAACGGCAATATTTGATTTTGATTTGATTGTTATTTTTGCTGAGAGCAATGAAATAAGACTGTATTAGGTTATTATTCATTTTAAAACAATAAACACTATTTAAAATAAACAACTAAATCTTTTAACAACAAAAAAAATGAAAAACAGGTTGATAGAAAATGTGGTAAGTCCCAAAAGAGCCTATAAGTCTGCAACAGTTTAATTTTGAAATTGGCCGATTATTGATACTGAAACAAGACGAACTAAGGAAGAGAACTGCATTTACAGATTAGGAAAATATTAAAACAAAAAAAGTTAAACGGTGTTTTGTACCTCCTGAAAAATTAAAAAAAAAAATGGACTTAGCACGTTTGCACACTAAGCCAACGATTTGTTATATGTAATAATCATCTAAGCTAGACTACCTTCTATCTGCGTCCATGTACAATTTCTCTGCCTCTTCGAACTCGCCATAGAAGGCTGCCACTTCTGCTTTTTGCAACATGGCCGACGATATATTTCGCAAGCGCTTTATCAACTGTATTCCCGGATAATTTGCACAGCGAACGAATGCATTCTCGGCCACATCCAATTCGAGTTTCTTCAATGCCGCCTCAGCTAATAGACGCCATAGACGTGGATGTGGGTTGTCTTCGATGAATTGCTTAGCATCTTCCAAGCCCACGTGCTGGAGCAGATCATCGGTATCACGCAATGATTTAACACGCAACTGTATAATATGACTGATGGAATTCTGAGTTTCATCGCCACTTATTATATCATCGAGGAGGACACTCGTAATTTCTAAATCTTCGAAAGTGCAAATATAACCGGAACAAGAAATAGGTTCCTCAGGATCATTGCCACGAAACACATACATGCGCGTTTTCTCCATTAAAGCGAGTAGCAAGGGATTATCTTTGGCCCAACAAATGGCCCATACATCCTTCCGTTCAACGCGATTAAAGTTCAATTGTGACTCGCGATTATCGTCCAAGTCAAGCAAAGTCATGATACCAGCATCATCGATTACCGCTGCACGGCTTCAAAAACGGGTAGAGAAAAATTTTATTTATTTATCTACTTATTATAGTATATTTATGAACAATTAGCCTCATTGCGTTAGTCGTAAATTAGACTAAATTGTACGACTCGACAACGACGAACTATCCAGTGCTGCCAAGTTTTTCCGTCTTAATGTACTAGTCGAGTCAAAATTTTAGGCGATCCCGATACGATTCGACACTCGCAATGAGGCTGAGTATATTTTTACAGACTATGAGAAAATTAAAGTGTTTAATTTAAATACTTAAATTAGGCAATTGAATTCAAAATGTACACAAAATATGATTTTAGTAGCGAAAATTCGAGTTCAATACAATTAGAGATTAGGTTCAATTCATTAATAGCTCGGCAAACGAGAGCATTCCGAGCGTAGTTTGTTTTACAATTTCTGCTATAAAATGTAAAGGCCGTATGCGGAATATTAAAATAAATCCGTTCCAAGAGGTAAGGACAGTCAACAGTTCCTTGAAAAATGCCCAACACAAAAGTTAAAGAAAGGACTGACTTTCTCTTTTCCATTGAAGGAAAGTTTGATGTCAAATATAACACCCCTCTTAATTTCTTAGTATGCTGCCTGAGATACGAGACGAGGTAACGAAAACATTTGTGGACTTAGTGAAAGTAACATAAAAACATTTATTGACATTGAGGGAAGGGCGCGATTGTACACACCAAGCGTGCAGGTTGTCAAGCTCCGTTTGAATTTTAAACATAGTTAAGAAGCATTAACTTATGTAATTTATAAAAAAATGCCCGCAACTCAAACACGACTTAAGCTAATTAAAAAAAAAAAACAGAATGGAAACCTAGACGCTCGCGTTTCGCGACTAAAATTTTATGTGCCAACATAAACAGTAGTAACATTTACAATATCGAGGACTTATATTCAGTACCCTCTATCTGCAATTTTCAGAAAAACTAGCTTCTGATACTGAAACCCATTTGGGACTTAACTGTTATCACTGATGTTAACTCTAACTTTCAAATTAAATGGTAAATTATACCAAGAAGCTTTTTATAAGGTTAGCATTAACACCATCGATGACACTTAATTCTTAGGTGGATTTTTATATCAGAAGCTGAGTCTTGTGGAAATTGCGGACAAAGGGTATTGAATATATGCCCTCGATATATTTATCTGCATATCGATGGCTGAGTGGAAGATCGACCTATCTCGGCAACCAGTTCGAAAACATTCTATCTCAAAAAACTTTTCAAGAACGCCCTATTTCAGAATTCGTTTCAAAAACGCCCTATCTCAGCTGTCGATTCAAAAACCCCCTATATCAGCATATTTTCAATACATTTTGAAGTGAGATAGGGCGTTTTTGATCCGAATTTTGAGATAGGGTTTTTTTCAATAAAACTCTGAAATAGGGCGTTCTTGAAAAGTTTTTTGAGATAGAGCGTTTTCGAACTGGCTACCGAGATAGGTCGATCTTCCACTCAGCCATCGATATGTACATATATAAAGTACCTACCTAGAATTGCAATTAATAACCATTTTATAGGGTCTTGAATTGAGCTTGTGACGATTGCGTAGCGCTACGTTCGGAACACTATACTCATTTACAACGCCCGAATCGCGTGCCACCAATAATATTTTTTCGGACATTGCTAGCGTGCAGATAGGATCTACATTGGCATGCGGCTTGTAGCCTTTGTTATCCGCGCTGCTACCGCCTGTAGCGATAACTAAGTCCTTGGCCATTTCGACACCGGTAGGTGTATCGTCTATGTGAAAACGATTCTCTTTGCGCGTCTTTGCACCATGTAAATTAGCGACGCTCTGAAAAAAAGAAATAAAAATATTTTTGTATCAATTAGCATTGTTTACACTCACCTTAGGTGTATTATAATGCCAGATAAGTACTTCGTCAAAAGAAGCTATTGTTACGTGCCCGGAATTGATGCCAACAAAATTTGGTCTCATGTCGGTGTATTTTGCTGTAATATGAAGAAAACAATTCGTTAAGATCTTGAGTTTATAGTGAAGATTATGACCTGTACTTTTCTACAAACAAATGTTGCCATTTAATTGGCCTCTCCTTAGTATTTGGGCGAAGAGGGCAACGTAAACGTCACGTTTTTCGTAAGAAAAGAAAATGTCAATAAAGGGATAGAGGGATACTTATAATAAAGGAGGACTATGGCCTTTGGTCTATTGTGCCTTTAAAGCTCAACACAAGACTTAGCTTAACCCTAAAGGTGCATTCACACAGAAAGCGGGGCCAAGTCGAGCCAAGCCGTTCCGAGCTTTAAAAGTAGGTATGGTTCCAACGGGGAGCATATAGGATCAAATGTGTCCGCGCTAATAACCACTAGGGAGCATAGATGCGAAAGTAAAACATTGAGTTCATTAAAAATCTTCATTGGGTCTGCATTATTGCTTTCGAACAACTTGTTTACTTTTTGCACCTGAAAATTAGGCAAATAGTAAAATCGGGTAAAAACGGCTAACTTTTTTTTACAAACCGGCTAACAAATCGGCTGCCGGCTAGATCGAATTTTCTCCGGCTAGTTGCTATCAAAACCGGCTAAATCTAGCCGGAAAACGGCTAAAATGGCAACGCTGGTAATAAAGTACCTTAAATTCCATTCTTAACTTACAATCCACTGTAGTTCCGATAGAGTTGCACAGCAAAAGCTGATAGCATTTATCTATACTTTCGGTCTGATTGTTATTTTCTTTAGTATCGCTGACATGAATATCCTTCATATTAGTATTTAAGCATTCCACAGCAATAACGCAATGCTCATTGCAGGCTGCCATTCCTAATGCTGGCTCCACTTCCTTTAAGAAACTCTGAAAATAATATATTATACGTATTTTCAATCATATTGAAGCCAATAATCAACCAGCCACACCTGATTCGAAATGGTATTCCAGAAAGTGATTACATTGGTCGTTGCGTTGCGTGTAAAATTACTGCTGTTCCTGTTTAAAAATACGACAGTTTTCTCAAAGTAACACCACATATAATCCGGACGTATGTTGGCGAAATAGATGAATGAATCAACAGCCATTGCTATGCGTAGCGACTTCCCTTCCCAAGAAAGCGATGCGATATCATAGCCTGGTACCTTTAAAGTTCGCAACAGCTGACCGAAAGGTGAATAAAAGCTTACTTGATTCAATTCCTTTGAGCTGGGATAGTCTATAAGAGTACCGCAGATGGCTAACACGGAACCGTCATGATTCCACTCAGCGTCTATATTACGCATGCCAGTGTCGATAAGTACGGGCGCTTTATACGTAAAATATATGAAGAAAAAATTAAGTATGTTCTTAATGAACGTACATACATAAGGACTGCATCGACCATAATTTGTAACTTTTGAAAATGCCCTTGAGATAGACTGTCAAAAAGTACTAATTTTTTTCAACGGCAATAGTTCTGTTCGCTATGCGAATGCCAGCAGAATAAGGTATCTTACTCTCCCAAAGAGAGAATTAGCGATCAGGAATTAGCAAACATTTGGAAGCTTCACTGCCAGCTGGCGTCCACGGTTGCATTTCGAGCATAATCAATTTTCTAAATTATTTCAGGTGGAAAACAAAACAGGACCTATATGTATATTTCTTCTTATTCTGACTTTCTTCAACATACACTTCAATTTCTTTGTGAAAGTCACTGTCGGATTTCCTATATCGACAGTGGTGTCGACTGCGTTCCTGTTACGAATACAGCTTTTTCAGCCGAGTCCCTTTGAAATGTTTGGAATTATTTGAATAAACAAATATTTATATACTTACATACTGCAAAAAAATGTGGAACCAGTCAGTCTATGGTGCAAAGATGCAAGAAGAGAAATAATTTAGAAAATCGGAAGAAGCAAAAAGCGGCAAAGGCTAGCGAGAAGCAGAAAAAAACTATAAAAACACGAGCCCGAAAGCTGTGCAATTTGATGAGAGAAAAAGCTTACGTCATTTTAGACGATGAAGCCTACGTAAAAGCATACTTCAGCACGCTTCCAGGACCGCAGTACTACTTCAAAGGCGAAACACTCCCAGATGCAGATACTTCAATCAATATTGAAAAATCTGGAGCTAAGTATCTTGTGTGGCAGGCAATTTGCCAATGTGGCAAAAGGACCCCTCATTTTTGACAACAGGCCCAATTAACAGAGAAATGAAAATCAAGGAGTGTTTAAAAAAAACCACTGCTGCCATTTGTTTTGGATCCACCATTAACTTTCTTGAATTTAAAAACACTGACTTCGTTCCAAAAATAGTGAATCCGCCAAGTGTCCCGCAGTGTCGGCCCATTGAGAGGTATTGGGCATTAGTTAAAAGCAACCTACGAAATACCAAAGAAACCGCTAAAAATGTTCAGGATTTCGACTTGAAATGGAACAGAGAGGACATACAGAAAAAGTTGTGGCAGGAGTGGGAAAAAATGTGATTTCGAAAATTTTTCGATAGTAAATAATATTGCGTAAAATATGGAATTTACAACAACTCAAAAAATTTAACCAGCCTACTTGTTTATGCTGCTTAAAAATTTTAGGTTACGTTCGCTTCAGTCCTTATGTACGAGTTTTTTTATGCATGCATTTAGACTAAGCTACCACTTACTGTCATCGCTTTCATTGCGCATAATCTGTAATTTGCAAGTCTCATAGCAAATGGCTAATACTGGGCGATTAGAAGATGTGCGTCCGCTGAACCAGCACAGTGCCGAGATCCTAAAGTTTCGATTCGGACTCAGCGAAACACACTGTATATTCAGCTTCATCTATTTCAGAGTAGAAAGAAACTGACTTACATATCTGCGCATACATTCATACACATCCATGCACGAATAATCATTTTAATTACCCACCGCGAAATTCCCTTGATTATCGTACAAATGACATTCGCCAGTTGCTAAGCCAAATAGTATCAGTCGATTATCGGGGCTCCATTGTACACTGGTTAAATGCGTGTTCTTCAATTCCTTTCCCCAGATGCGATTTCCATCAACCGAGCCTTGAAATATGCAACGAATTATAATTATTTTGTAGGTACGCACATAAAAGCGCATCGAATATCAATCGATGTGTACATGCAACATGCAACAACATACGCACTTATACACATTTCTAATTACATTGCAATACCTACCAACAATAATAGCACCATCCTCGTAAACTATACAAATCTTTGCACCATCCGATGTCCAACTCATGCTATTTACGGTGGACTTCTTACGATCATTGGTCATCTCCTCATACCAGGAACCTTTGTAGAGCATCCAAACCATAATCACACCATCCAGATCGGACGATGTCAACTTCTGTTGTGTCTCATTCCAGGTAACAACTTTGACGGCCTCTTTGTGTCCATCTAATGTTTGATTCATTGACAAGTTGGATACCGCAGCAAGATTACCTTTATTTTGCCCATTGGATGCTAAAGTCTCTATTAATGAAGGGCATACCCTATAGAACGGAAAAATGTTACCTTGCTCTAATTTTAACACTTTCAGCAATCCCTCGGAGCCGGCTACGGCTATGTAGCCCTGATCTTTGTTCCACGCAATGCAATTCAGTTTTACATTATTTGGTATTGCAATCTGAATATAATATATAATTCATTATTAACACTATATAGATATAGTATAGAAATGCTTTTTAAAAAAATACCCACCTTTTTACTTAAATAGACGAACATTTTGCACAAGATTACTTGTTTTCTCTGTCTTATGCGGGTACCATGGCGGGTACAAACAAATGTAGAGAATTACGTTTACGACCAAAACGCATAACAAAACTCGTTCCCATGGCGCACCGTTTTTGTGTTTACCATCACAACCACCTGCTAGTATACGGCTTTTGCTCCGATTCCATTTGTATTCTTATGAACGCTCACACACATCCGTCAAAACTGGTCATTCACGTATGCGCATATGCGAATGCTTTGCTTACGCACACAGTTGAGTGTGAGCTTGAAAAATAGGCATATTATGCATTTTAAATTAGTTTTAATTCTATAATTCTGCAAAATGTTAAGTAATAACGAAGACATTGGTCAAAATAAAAAGCTCACGCTCGCATTGAACTGTATAACAGACTTAAGAGTTCAATTGAAGGTGTTTCCCTTCTTCCGAATGTCGACTTATGTACATATCGTCGCCTGGGTAAAAGATTGTCGTAAGCGCAGTTTTGACGATTTTTAGTTCTAGATGCAGTTATATTTTTTTGAAATAAGTTCTTTCGATTGGTGTTATCAGTTTCTAGATATCCCCTTTAGTTTCCGAGATATTGAAGATATTTTTTCGATAATTTAGTAATAATTTAGTTAATCAATATCTTATCCATTTTTGGATTCCATCTTTAGTTTCCGAGATATTGAGTTAAAAGTGTCGTTAATTTAGTAGAAATTTTGATCACATTTTGTCGTATTTCACACAAAGTGCCTGCCAAATTGTGGACAAATGACGCTTACGACAATATTTTACTAAAGAAAATCCTTCATAAACTTAAAACTAATTAACAATAAACATTAAAAATTAAATAATTTAAGAATTTTGTGAACTAAATACTAACATTTTCAGAGACTTTGGAGAAAATCTATCTTCGCGTTTTTGAGAGATTGCATTCCAAACTTCAAACGCGATTTCCCACAACCTGCCGAAATTAACATACGACAATCTTTTACCCAGGCGACTATATGTATATGAGCTTTAATTCATACATCAAATGAGCGTCGATATGAGTCATATTGGACTCTTATTGGCCTCATATACGGCTCGTTTTGGACTCTTTTTGAGGCTCTCAAATGACTCTTATCGGCCTCATAAATGGTTGTTCTGCGAGTCTTAATGGCAGTGTTGCCAGTTTAGCCTTTTTGAGGCTAGATCTAGCTTTTTTCTTTGTCGTTTAGCTTCGAAATTTAGGATTTAGCTTCACGGCGTTTTTGTAGTATTTTCTCCTTTTAAAACTAGCATTTTTTTAAGGACAATATTTGTAGTAGCACTAAATTATTGTTCCGGTTCAGTTTTACTTGACGAAATGTTAAGCGAATATCACCCAGCGGCATCGCTCCGTCCGACGAAATTTGCTCAGCGAACTCGTTTTGTTTATACTTTAACAGTTTTTTCAGGGGCTCTTAAGTGTCCCTATTAAACTGAGATAAGCATGTTATTTCTTAGAACTCTGTACCCCACGGGATGTCAAGCACTACATCGTGAGGGAGAAAGGTAGTTAGTCGCCGCTGCTATGCCGTAGCCATTCGGGGGTCCTTAGCCTAGGCCTGCCAACATTTTCTAAAAATGTATAGTACTTTTTCTAAAAAATCTGAAAAATAGAGCACATTTAAAATATATATAGTTTTTTTTTTAAAGAAAAAGTAAAAATGCTTTTTAAGCGTACATCTTTTTTCTTTCTTATGCATTTCCTCTATAAAAAGATATATTTCTTTGAAAGTATCGTATGCTTTATCGCTATAAATATTTAAATTAATATAAATCAAAAGTTAATTTTTTATTAGTGAGATATTCGCTTTATTTTTCTCATCTCACCATTTCAAAATCTTAATAGAAAAACCTCCTGTGAATGCCGAAGTTGCAGGAATGGAGATCACAAGCGAAATAATTTAAAGTAAATTTGGTAAACCCTTCTACGTATTTGTAAAAGTGTGTAAAAGTGTTGCCATTTTTTATCTGTGGACCTTTTGTTTCAAAGTAGATTTATTTTAATATTGATATTTCAATATCATCTATTTTAAATCATTTTTAAAGCAACCCTCCCCTTTATTATTAAAATAGTTTTATTAAACAACTTTTAGCATTTTATATGATTTTTTCGTTTTCTTGAGAACTGGAAACAGTTCCTAATGACCTAAGTGAATAAGTTAGTAATATTGTCAGAAAAATTTCGGATATGCAGTTTTGTAGCCCATTCAATTATAGTGTAATAAAGTGCAAGTTTCAAGGGACTTTAAAATAGCCCTGATTTTTGATTTTTTTTTTATATTATATCCATATAAAAATTTTGTCGAGCATACTTTGTATGAGAGAAAATGCGCAGCACCATCACCAAAAAAATTGTCAAAAATCACCGCTATTTTACAGTCACTTGAAACTTGCACTTTATTGTACCCCTTTGTTAACATTTTTTAACTCTGTATAAAGTTTTAATATTTTAATGAATATTAAACAAACAAAATAAAAATGTAAATACTAAAGATTAAAAAGTTTAGCTTTTCAAATGAGAATTTCAGATGTACATGACGTGTACAATTAATATATTTTTTATGATTTTCGTTTCAGTTCTCTCGCTATCGGTATCACGGCAATTTTTGTGTATAGCAACAATTTTCTAAAATTTTTGCATATGACAACACTGAGTTTGCTGCAGTTTGACCCAAGGCGAATTTATACATGGTGATGTTGTAAAATCAGCTGATTTCTTCGCTTTACATGTATTTTGTTTTTGCTTTTACTGACTTGACAGCACATCCATGGAAGAAAAAGGAAAGTTTCAATGTTCGCCAGGGACATTTCTAGAAGTAAAAACTAGTTGGCGCTATCATAAAGTCACATAGCAGGCAGCAAAAAAGCATATTGTTACGATTATCCTTGACCCCTTGAAGGATTTCCCAAAGCTTTCGGCTGGATTGTTAAATAAATGCTAACGATGACCAAATTGTAGTACAATTAACTTTATTGTACAATAAACAATTTCAATACTCAACAATACTCGCTAATACAGTAAAAACACTTTACAATACTTGTTAAAGCAATTACAACGCTTTACAAAACTTGTTTACACAATTAAACTTATAGCACTTTACTTGCAGCTTGCTGACTTGTAGCTCACTCCGGTGTTTGGTGGCGCCCTTATATACCTGCGCTCGCACTCATGGTAACTCTATTACGTTCTGAAGTTCATCGCTCATTCTCTTTCTCTCGCTGTTCGCAGTGTTCATCCAACTTGACGTTACTCTTTATGGAACATTGTACGTCATTCCTCGAACATTCTGCCTATTTCTCGTTGTTCGCTTTGTGTGGCCGCAGTATTCGCCACAATATAAATACCAAAATTCGAAAACTGCAATTTCGTTTGTTTACAAAAATTGCAACCATATGTTTTGTGATCATATGTTTTCGTGTTGGATAATTTTTGCTGGCTAAAATTTTTCCAGTACAAAATGAATGCTTTCTTGCATCAAAATTTTTTATTCAAAATGAACGCTTGCTCTCTCAAGTTTTGTGAGTTGGATCATTTTTTGTCGTTATCGAACGCCATCCATTAAAAATTTGGCAAAAACTATTACAAATTTTTGACATGTCGAACGCAACTATTGGCTGATCTTAGTTTAAACCAGCCAGATGCGTTTAAACTTAGTTTAAGCCACGGCCGTGCACTTGAAAAATCAAACTTTTCAAGGGAAATATTTTTAATTCAAGCCTATCCCTTAAGGCCCGTTTAAATACAACTTTGGCGTTGCGTTGGCGTTGGCGTCACTTCGACAGCTGACTATGAAACATGGATTTATATGAAAGTCTCCATATAACCAAAGTTGGGCAACGCCGACGCCAACACAACGCAGAAAGATGGCCAACTCTCAACTTTTCGCGTGCGACGCTCGTCAGCTGTTCTAAATTATCAAAATTATGTGATAAAATTTTGATTTATCTGCCGCTAGTGTGTTAATTTAGTGACCAAAGTATTCTCTGCTACGCGTTCATTGTAGCAAGCACGGGCGTTACTCGCGCTGCTGGCCAACGCAACGCCAAGTTGTATGTGGACGGGCCTTTAAAGTCACGTAAGTTAACAATTGTTTATATTGACAACCACGAAGAAGGAAATACATACTTGTAGGGTTCAATCGATACCACTAAAGTATCATTCTAATGAGTACTTGTACTCAAAAGCCTGAAAGTATCGATACCTACTCAGTATCGGCAAAGTATCGAGTACTTACTTGAATTGTTTTCATCTTCTCTTTCGAGAGATGCTTCCCTTTTTTGTTGTAAAAGGTCGTATGATTACGTCTTATCATGGTTTAAAACATTGTATGTCAAAATCAAATAAAAAGCCAATAAAGTTGCAGGTATAGAAGACGTATATATTTAAGCTATTTAGTAAGAATACAAAATAATTATTAATTAATATTTGTGGCACATTACCAAGGAACAGTATTGATTATAATTTTTTTCAGTCATAAGAGTGTATAGGTCACCCAGTATGGAAAAGTTTCGGATTTTTATTTGTCTCTTTATTTTCAAATTAGTTTTATTGACTTTTTTTTATAAATAATATAGTTCATTCCATAACAAAAACCTTGTTAATCCAAGTTTAAAACTTTGTACAAAAATTAAAAGCAAATCAAGAAAGTTTCATCAAAGACCGTAGATTATAAGAAGGGATAACTCGTGCTTTCTCTTTTGCGCTAATACGTTTTCATCAAAAATCCACACTTTTTATTCTGAATAAAAATTGTTTAATTTTGGTGAAACTTTGATTTTCTTTTAATTTTTGTACAAAATTTGAAACTTGGGTTTACATGGTTTTTGTCATATAATGAACTATATTTTTTATAAAAAAGTAACTAAAATTAATTTGAAAATAAAAATTAAAATCCGACACTTATCCATAAGGTCACCCCTATAAGTATACAGCGCACTGCATTATTTACAAACTATTTATGAAAAAAAAATTGTATTGTTTCTTTTGGTACATTGCTGAGGAACAATATTAGTTATAATTACATATATGACTTCATATAAGTATATTATTCACAAAATATTTATGAAAAAAATTGCTTTTGGGTCACACTGCCAAGAAACAAAAACTTTTCTAAATGCTTTCCAGACAAGTGATTTCTACCTTTTCTACTACATGACCGCACTTTTCGCGAAATTCGTTGAGTTGCTGTTGCAATGATAAAAGTAGTATAAATTACTCTGTCGATACCAAGGACTTTTTTTCCGATACTTACTCGATACCGAACAAAAAGGTATCGAGTAAAAAATTACTTGGTGTCAAAAGAAAGGTATCGAGTATTTACTTGTATCGATTGAACCCTGCATACTTGGCGTGTGGAGGCTGAAAGTTCCTGGCTAAAAACAACAGTTAAAGATGACGGAAAACGATGGAAATCCGTATGACATGGATAGTTCCACATTTAACTCTGAAAAGTATCTGGAAAAGCTACTTAAGGTAATTATTTTATGGTGGAAAGTCGTTACTATGTTCTTTTTTTCCGTTAAATTTGTGTATTTGTATGCATACGTGTGTCATTTCTTCACAGGATTGCACCCTAAAGCAGATCATGGACACCGAAACTGCAGTAATTAAAGACACCCAAACACTACATTCAGACATGCAGACCTTGGTCTACGAAAATTACAATAAATTTATCTCGGCGACGGACACTATACGCAAAATGAAAAACGATTTCAAGCAAATGGAATCTGACATGAACTTGTTGCGCACTAAAATGCAAACTATCACATCATTTAGTGAGCAAATCACAGATACGTTGCAAGGGACTCGTTCGCAACTATGCCGTCTATCTGAGAAGCACTCGTTGCTTAAAAGATTGCAATTTTTATCCTCCCTCCCTGCAAAGTTGAAGGCACTCATCGAGGAGCAGAACTATGCACAAGCTGTTCAAGATTATTTACATGCACAAAAAGTTTTTGCACAGTATGGCCAACAACCCTCATTTGATGGTATTCAGCTAGATTGTGAAGCTATTTTACTGGACTTGAAAGAGCGGCTGCGAACGGATTTTCAGATGGCAAGTAATTCAGCACAGTCGTTGAGTGAAATTGGCGAACTGTTATTGCAATTGGATGAGAAACCAGCGCAATTAGCCAATGACATGTTGACGTGCGCTTCAAAACGGCTCCGTGAACAAATTGTACTGCTGCAAGTATGTAACGCATGGAATGAGACATAATTCGATTTATAACTACTAAGTATATGTATTTATGTACTTACTATTTAATTTCCTAAGGATCAAACTGAGCGAGATATGATCGAATTTGTCGATATGGGTATCGAAGGTTTCCTTAACGACTTAACGTTAGTTGTTACTTCCTACTTCGACATGTTTATAGTAAAGTGCCATGAAACGGAGAGGTAGGTTTTGCATAAAAAACGCATTAATAAAGTTAAGTCAAAAACGCAATCTTTCGTTTAAGCGATGATTTCAAGGAGCATGCTTTGCGAGAGTTAAATATATTTCTCAACCAAAATGTCGATAAGTACTTGACCCTCGTACAAGATCGGGTTGAATCGGACATAGGCTTTGGCGATACACAAATAATGTTGCGTGCGCTTGATCGCCTGCATCGGCGACTGCTTGCTATGCGCAACATTTGTCGTGGTCTGGAAATAAAACGCAATACTGTAGATATTATAATAGCAGCAGCGCACCAACTTTGCGAAGTGCACACCAAAACACTGAAAGATCACTTTTCCGATAGTCTCAGCTCAGTGCGATTGGCATTAGTTTCGGCTAAAAGCGACAATAACAATGGCACTAATTTGAATGAGTTAATCACCAATTTGTATGTATCTATGGTAGAGAAAGTAAAAGGAGTATTACAAGATTTACTGGTATTTCTGCAAACGGATTGGTCGTTTAATATCAAAGCAGAATACAAAGGCGGCCTCTGCGTTGAAGGCGTACGAGAGAATTTACTAATTGGTAAATAATGTGCTTATAATTACACTTTAAGGTTTAACACAATTTTTTTCAGGTTTCATGCGTCACATTTCAAAGGTTATGTGTTCGTTCGCTGAAGCCTCAAGTTCAAGTCCGCCAAATCTACTATTAGTTCTATCAAAAACTTGCCTCGAAATGGATCAGAATGGTGTGCACATTTTGGTAAATAATGACGCAATACAGTAAAAAGCCGAATTTCATTTAAATGTATTACTTTTAGATTACTTTGGTTGATGACTTGTACGAAATCGACTCTGAGAACAGTGCAATATTAACACATGAAACAGAAATTTGCGCTGAAATGCGCGAAACAGCACAAACGCTGCTTGACGCTTATGTGCGTTTGCAAGGCACAAATATTTCTCAGGTTAATAGATTACATACGTACGCATATGCAGTTTTCGTATTTAAATTTAATCAATTATTTGTACATATTTCAGATGCTCCGCAAAAGCGTTGAAACACGAGATTGGCTAAACTGTCTCGAGCCACGTTCAGTACGCGCTGTCATGAAGCGTGTAGTGGAGGAGCTAGGCTCAATTGAAACCGTTGTCGCCAGTCTCTATGAAGCAGGCGTACGCACAACGGCGAGCAGTGATTCTAGTCGAAAGACTCATTATAGTACTTTAATCACCTCTAAGCAGCAGTATCGTTCCAATTGGTCTAATTATACGCCGTCACAATTGGAATCGAGTTATGTCTCCAATATACATCGATTGTTCTCGGAACGTGTTGATATTTTTACCAATGTAGATTTTTCGAAAGTTTCAATAGTTACCGGCGTTATAAAGATTGGCTTAAAGGTAAATGTGATTAAAGGTAGTTTTGATAAAAGTTTTAAATTTGTTACTTGTATTTAGACCCTTCTGGAATGCATACGTTTGCGTACATTCAGTAAATTCGGGTTACAACAAGTGCAAGTAGATACGCATTATTTGCAAATGAATCTCTGGCGTTTCGTCACTGATGAAAAGTTAGTATAGAACTATACATGGAACACCTATTTTATTTCGTATTTAATTCTAGTCTCGTAAATTCTTTGCTGGATGAGATACTTGGTTCAGCTGTACATCGTTGCTTAGAATCAATTCTAATGGAGCCAAATGCCGTCGAAATTATATGCGAGCGCGGTTAGTATTACCTAGTGATTTTATCTAAATTTTTGATCTTCCGATGTCTAAAGTTTAAAAAAAGGTCGATGTGTATTAATTTTATTTATTATCTATTCTATTTGTATGCTAGCCTAATAATGGATTAATATTAGTAACAATATTCAAAAAGTTATTTCATACATGTATTCAAAATAATCATCGAAGCCTAAATGGGAATGAAATTCAGTGTCTAACAATGTATTTGTTTTAATTAATAGTGAAAACTATGCTATCTCCATCGAGATTCACTTCTCCGTCGTTGTCACTGAAATCCTCTCCTGTTGTCACCAATATATTGGTTTCACGTCCGTCGTCCGATTTAATGAGAATTACTTGCGGTGTGGAATCATCATCACTGCAATTATGGGTATATTCATTAGGTTTGCTTTGCTCTAACGCCGTTCCTACTGTTTTTTTCTTTCGTTCGTCGGGAACATCAGGTTTGGAAGCGTTTTCCCGACGCTGTTTGCGCGCCTCTTCAAACTCTTTTGGATGTATTTTTTTTCGATGTGAATGCATATTTGCATTAGAATTGAACGTCTTTGGACAATATGGACAATTATATAACACCTCGCCAGTATGCATCGCCATGTGCTCCTGTGATTATTATATACACGTGAATATGCTGCATACATAGGTAACACAAAGAACTAATCGCATACCTTTAAAGTTATGGCTTTTTTGAAAGCTTTACTGCAAACATTACACTCGAAATCACGCGCTGATGTATGTACGTAACGCTGATGACTAAGGAGTGCGCTACGATTTGGTGCCTTCTTACCGCACATTTTGCAGACGTATATTGTGCCATCGTCGTTATGACGTCGTTTATGTTTCTGCAAACTATACTTATCTTTGTGCCAGGAGCCACATTTATCACATTGCACCTTCGGCAGCACAACACCAGAGTGTTCAAGTTGGTGTCTGGCAAATGCAGTGCGACCACGAATAACCTTCGCGCAAACATCACACATAGTGGCGCCGTACGTCGAATGCATTGTTTTCATATGTGTGTTTAGCAAATTTCCGGTAGCAAAGCTTTTAAAAATATAAATTTTGAGGGAATTGCAAATACATACATACTTATCTACATAAGTATGTAACATCGAGTATCAAAGAGTACTTACCCCTTTTGGCAGACGTTGCAAATATGTTTTCGTTCTTCATGAATAATACGGTGCTGTTCGAGAATATAAGGGCGCGCAAATCGCTTGGGACAATGTTCGCATTTATACTGTTTCTCCTCTTCAGGCTGATGTTTGATTAGAAAATGATTTCGCATACATTGTTTGTCCGCAAACGATTTGTCACATACCTCGCATCTAAGAGAAATTATGATTTATAAAGTATGTATTTAATTACAATTTTGTTGATTTCTAAACAAACTTGTAACAATCCGGATTAATATGTTTTTCTATATGTCCTACAAGCAGTGATCGCTTGCTAAACTTCTTATTACAACAGGTTATGTACCCTTTGCATTGATGCACTTTTTCCATATGCTTGCGCAAATGGCAAAACGTTGTCTGCTCATCTCCACATTTTTCGCACGTTAAACGTATGCATTGCGCAATTTTTTCATCTATTTGTCGCATACGTTCTTCATAGCTTTCCTGTTGGGAATCGTCCGCTTTATTTGTAACCCTCTTAGTTTTCGATTTCTCTTTTTTAGGCGTTTCGTCGTCTGCGTTTTGCTTTTTAATTGTTGGTGGTCGCCCACGACGCTTCTTATTTCCAACAGAATTGTTAACATTCGGCTTTACCTCGTCAACATCATTTTTCGCGTCAGTATCTGAGCTACATTTGTCGAGTTTGTTGTCCTTTTTTGTATAAGAGCGGGTGGAATGTGGTTTACTTTCATCTGGCAAAGCAAGGGCATCTGCTGAAAAATTTCTTGTTTAAATACAAGTACAAATAACAAGAGCAATGAAGCAAAACACCTTCGTCTTCTTCCAATTCCAACATTTCGTCTATAAATGATTCAATTATCATGGAGCTCTCATCTTCATGAGAAGATATTTCACTTTTGAGCAATTTTAAGTCGTCGCAGCTTTTTTCATCTGGCGTTTGTTTATATCGAGAAGAATCATCTATTGTTTCCTGTTCTATATCGAACTCTTTTTTGGATGTCGTGCTCGGTAAACTTGCATGCAGCCACTCGTTGGCGGCCGGCGCGTCGGTTATCGAATAACAACGTCGCTTGCGGCACTTTGGCTGTACCTCGCTTTTCAATGAAAAGCGTTCTGTTAAGAGTCGGTGAGCCTCTTCCACTATTAAATAGAATTCATTGAAACTAGATACGCTGATCCAACAAGAGTTACATATTGCTGTTGAGATTGGATCGTCGCTCCTGGGCTTTACGGTACAATAAATGTAACAGGTTAGAAAAATTATTAGACGCTTTATTTTAATGTATCTTACCTCAAACCAAAAGTATTTAGCAAGCACTGCAGCCACATTAAGTTCAACGCCTCTTTCGTCGAAAATGTTAATTACCTCCGTAATATCTTTGAGGCACAAACGGCAAATCATGATTTTTTATTTGTTTTAAAATATTCACTTTGAATAATAAAACATTGGTAACTACTAAATAACCAAGAGAAAATTCCACAGCAGCAGTAAACAAAAATTATTGTAAGAAAAAGTGGTGGCAAACTATCGATGTTGTCATCGATACTATGAGTGGTGCATCACTATCGCAATTATCGATGGTGCCGACTTTCGAAGATATTAGTTGCGTTCCTAATCTCCCAAAAATAGTCAGAAGAGTACGAAGTAGCAAGATTTAGTCCAAAAAGCGTTCCTTAAAGCGAAGCGCACATTGGCGCGATTCTGTCGTTGCGAATACGTTGCGNTAATACACGAAAAGTGAGAATAACCTAAAAAGTAAAAAAAGTTATCTACATCTAGGTTCTGTGGTCCAACTACACAAGATCTGACAAGATGAAGCAAAAGAAAAAAGGAATTTTCTGGCTGGCGTTTGTAATGAGACTCCCAAGATTTTGCAAAAGTAAAGCGAGCAACGTTAAATTAAAAAAAAAAAAAAAAAAAAAAAAAAAAAAAAAAAAAAAAAAAAAAAAAAAAAAAAAAAAAAACAAAAAAGAAATGGGATTATCTGGAATGTATAAAGAAACGTAGCCACTATCTCAACGCTCGGAGCGCTGCCACTAAGTAAACAACATAGAGAACGGAGAAAAGCGCGAAATGTAAATTTAAACAAACGAAGAAATGTAAACAAACGGCTAATGTCAAAATCGTTAAACTTTTTTCCTAAATGCGATTTTAACGGGCTACTCTCCTGCCCGCGTGATCTTGTATATTTGCTTCATGAGTCAAATCAAAATGGGGTCTGGAAAAAAACAAAAAGCGCACTATTTGTTTATTCTATTTATTGAAAGACAACCACGCGGAAAAGCTTCAACATCGATGTGATGCTGATATAAATCTGGATGAATTTGTGATAAACTCTGTTTGTTTTGTTTCCTTATTAAAAAGGAAATTTTAATTGACAGCACCGGCAAATGAATATATTCACAAACAAATGTTCGGTTATGGCTTAAACAATTCAAGGTTTTGTATTGAATTTTTGGTTTAAAATTTATTTTTTCCTTTTCAGTAGGGTTTTTGCACATTATCTTCTTCGTGAGAATTGATCGTAATGAGGGAACACGGCAGTTTGCAAAAGCATACGATTCCGAACTCTAGTAAATGTGAATTTGCTTAATGCGATAACATGACGCTCTTGGAAAACATATGTTCGAAAGTGCTAAATGTTGCATTTTAAATGGGCATAAATGTAGAATACCTACAATTCTCAAATTAAAAAAATTCATATTGGGATCGATGGAGATCATTGAGGTGAGCGTAACGATATATATATATATATTTTTTTTTGGGGAAACAACAACTACAACAATTATTAAAGGTCAAAGTTCAAATTAAGCATTTCTTAAAATTAATATTTTTCAAAAACCTCTTCAAGGATTTGGAAAATTTTTATGTCATTTGACAGAGAATTTAATTCTCTTCAATTTAATATACATATATCAAAAAAAAGGTGTTCAGCGTCTGTTATCCGCAACACAGAAAGAGAATTCTACTTTGTGAGGGTTATAATCTATAAGCGCGGCCGAAGGCCGCCTACGCAGAAAGGTGTTCTTTGCAAAAGGTGTTCAACGCCTTTTCCTTGCAACACAGAAAGAGAATTCTACTTTATGAGGGTTATAATCCATAAGCGCGGCTGAAGGCCGCCTACGCAGAAAGGTGTTCTTTGCAAAAGGTGTTCAACGCCTTTTCCTTGCAACACAGAAAGAGAATTCTACTTTGTGAGGGTTATAATCCCTAAGTGCGGCCTTATTTTTATGGCAATACAGAAAGGGGAATTCTACTTAGTGAGGGTTACAATCCATAAGTGCGGCCGAACGCCACCTACGCAATAAGAAGTTTATACACAAAAACACTGTATACTTTTAATATTTTTTTGATTGAGCTTTGTACCACGATTGTTTTATTAGGAAAAAGCAACATAGTCCCTGCTGACGTTTAGAAAAAAGAAGTCTGATGAGGAGATGTGGTGATCTCCGAAATAGCTGCTATAACTTCTACCGCTTGGACTTTGTTGCTTTTTCAATTTTTCCTAATAAAACAATCGTGGTACAAAGCTCAATAACAAAAAAAATATTAAAAATAAACTGTTAATAAACTACAATAACATTGACAAATACTGTATTCTTTTTTCCACATTAATTCGATTTTTGTGAAAACTATGAAAGGTATATGAATAAATATGTATATCAAATTAAGGAGAATTAAATTCTCTATCAAATGACATCAAAATTTTCCAAATCCTTGGAGAGGTTTTTGAGAAATATTAGTTTTAAAAAATGCTTAATGCTTTAATAATTGTTGTAGTTGTTGTTTCCCAAAAAAATATATGGCTGCGTTTCTTTATACGTTTCGGATAATCCCATTTCACAGCCGGAATAAACAGAATGCGTTTGAAATATACGTCAACATATCATCAGAACCGTTCTAAAGAATAAATAAACAAAAAAGTTTATTCCAAACGTTCAGAATGAATAAAGATATGCAGCCTATACATTGTTATGTTCACCTCAATGGTCTCTATCGATCGTATTTTATTTTTTTTTAATTCGAGAATTGTAGATTTGTGCAAAAACGCCGCATTAAATAGCAG